GCGGGTCGGGCAGCGTAGGGCGGGTCACGGCCTGGTGGGGTGGGCAGGTGGGCGGGATGCAGGACGGAGGGCCAGGATGGGGCTCAGCAGTGGCTGCGCAGCCCTCCCTCCCTGACTCCCTCCCTGCTGTCCAGCTCCTGCCCGCAGGTCCCCTCCACCGGCCCCCACTGGGCTGTCAGTTCCCCCAGGGTGACCCCCTGCTGCCCCGCGTGGGGCCTCTCGCTGCTGGAACTCTGCCGATTCCCTCCAGCTGCAAACTCCCGGAGGAGCAGGCGGGTTCTTGCGCCTAGGGCTCTTTCCCGGGAGCTGGGGGCCATGATTCAATCTCCTCTCCCACAGGGAGTCAGGGGCTCTGCTGCGGAATTGCTGGGGGACTCAGTTTCCCCCTCCGCAGGATGGGACAATCACAGCTGCTCTGCCCACCGCATGGGCTTGTTGGGAAAACTTGGTTTAAAAAATGATATTTCCCTAAACACAAAAGATCTGAAGCAGGCGGTGGGTGCGGGGAAGTTGGTCACACAGGTCCCTGATCCATTATCCAAAACTCTGGGGCCAGATCTGTTTTGGAATTCAGGAATTTCTCATATTTTAGAAAGCCTACATGGAGCATATATCTCGCCGGGACTGACACCACCCATCAGGGTCCAGGCATCACCCCCGTAATCGGACACATTAACATTCTCAGCAAAGCCCGAATCACACAGGAGGGATAAAGCAAAGTCACTCATCGCCTTGGATCAGGTCAAGACAGGTTTTGCAGCCAAATTACAAGACATGGGTGCCCACATTACAAGACAGCTTGACTTTCCGGACTTCACAATTGCACTAGGCCCTCTATTAGTCCCTAAACTTTAAGGGTTTTCTAAATAGTTCATATAATTCTTTGAAAGGACTGTTACAAAAATGGGTAGAAGGGAATTTTGAAATCTATAATGGATTGTGAACAATTCGTTATGCAAGTCTAGAACCCAGGCAGCAAACCAAGAAAGGCCATGGGGACCAGGCAGGGGGAGGCCGAGGCGGCCTGGAGAGCTCGCTCCCTGTTTGAGGAGACCCCTGCTTCGGCCAGTGACCAGCAGCCAACTGCCACCAAGCCACATGGACACAGATCAGTTCTGCCAGAACTTCCGGTTTATCCAGAGAAGCTGGGAATCTGGCATTTACTGGGAATTTTCTTGTCAGCTAATTCAATTTTTACAATATGGTGTGGGCCAAAGAACACATATCTGTGAGCCCCCGGTTTTCAGTGTCTGATCTGGAAGGTGGGTGTGAATTAGTACCCAGCAGACCCTTCTTCAGAGAACCTTCCATTTGGAGTCCTGGAAGAGACCCAAGGCATTTGAACCCCAAAACTTTCAAACCTCCCAAGTTTCCCGTGTTTGTGCACATGTGCATTCGGGGTAGTGGGGTCGGATCAAATCTTCCGTCGACTTCTCAAAGGAGTCCATGTGCCTGAAGGGCTAAGAGCCACTGATTTGGTTGACTCCCCTCATTCCACGATTTTTAACCTTTTTCATCTCACGGCACACATAAACTAATTACTAAAATTCTGCGGTACACCAAAAAATATATTTTTACCCATCTGACAAAAAATAGGTATAATTTTTATTCATTCACACTAGACGGCTATTGTTGTGTTGGCTGTTGTCATTTTTTAATTTGACAATCGAAGGGGAAAGAAGCCAGTGCGCCTGACTAAATAGTCAGCTATGGCACGTTTTAAAAATTCTTGCAGCACACCGGTTGAAAGTCACTGCTACAGAGGGAGATCCCGACAGCGAGAGTGACTTGCTTAAGGCTCCACAGCAAATTAGTGGTACA